TGTCAGTAGTCGAGACGTGGTGGATGTCTTAGAACGATGTAGTTATTGAAGTTGTCATTACTGTTATTATTGTTATCGAGTCTTGTGAAGCAGGACTTTTTCATTAATTAAGGTGTTGTGGAAATATCACGGGGTTGAGGAAGTAACTTGGAAGCGTGAATTGGAAGTCCCAGAGAAATATTCAGACTTATTTATTGATGTTTGAATGTATGTTGCCATTTTGTATTATTGAAGAACTATAAAAACATTGTATATGTTTTGGATTGTAAAACATTGTAAATGTTGAATATGTCTCGGAAATACGAGTTTAGTTTAAACATTGTATACGTTGAATGTGTTTTTGAAATGCAAATACGTTATAAACATTGAATATGTCTTGGAAAACATGAGATGTATGTGTTGAAATTAGTTAAATTTTAAGGAATACATGTTGATGATGTATGTTGAGTTATATTTTGTGAAATTGTTCTCTTGAAAAGAGATGGATTGACCGGTGGGTGGGTCATGGTGATGAAGGTTAAATGGTGATCGTTTTGAAAATTAAAACATCATGATTTTGAAACTTGTACAAAATTTTGGGGGCAAAATTCTTTAAGGAAGGGAGGTTATAGCGATCCATGTTTTACCCCGACCTTTATTGTGTTCCGGACTTGGGTTCTGTAGTTGTATACTGTGGTCTATGTCTTGTTTCCTTCATTTTACTCTTTGTATTTGAGTTTTGGGTCGTGCTGGGTGAGTTTGGTACAAGTTGGTTGTGAGTTGATACACAGGGTTGCTGCCCAGGTTTTGACTTCTTCGCTCGAGTGAGACTTTTTGCGATCGAACGAGCCTTGGGTATTTGCTTCTTCACTCGAGCGAGAGTTCTTGCGCTCGAGCGAAGTTTGAGAGTCCTCAGGTTTCTTTTTCAAACGCAGCTTCCGCTCAAGCAAGCTTCCTTGCGCTCAAGTGAGCCTTGTATGGTGTGTTTCTTCGCTCGAGCGAGCATTCTTGCGCTGTCTGCATCTCTGTAAGACCTGAATGTTGGTATTCTTCGCTCGAGCGAGTTTTCTTGCGCTCGAGCGAGCTTTGTGTTATATGTTTTGGATTGTAAAACATTGTAAATGTTGAATATGTCTCGGAAATACGAGTTTAGTTTAAACATTGTATACGTTGAATGTGTTTTTGAAATGCAAATACGTTATAAACATTGAATATGTCTTGGAAAACATGAGATGTATGTGTTGAAATTAGTTAAATTTTAAGGAATACATGTTGATGATGTATGTTGAGTTATATTTTGTGAAATTGTTCTCTTGAAAAGAGATGGATTGACCGGTGGGTGGGTCATGGTGATGAAGGTTAAATGGTGATCATTTTGAAAATTAAAACATCATGATTTTGAAACTTGTACAAAATTTTGGGGGCAAAATTCTTTAAGGAAGGGAGGTTATAGCGATCCATGTTTTACCCCGACCTTTATTGTGTTCCGGACTTGGGTTCTGTAGTTGTATACTGTGGTCTATGTCTTGTTTCCTTCATTTTACTCTTTGTATTTGAGTTTTGGGTCGTGCTGGGTGAGTTTGGTACAAGTTGGTTGTGAGTTGATACACAGGGTTGCTGCCCAGGTTTTGACTTCTTCGCTCGAGTGAGACTTTTTGCGATCGAGCGAGCCTTGGGTATTTGCTTCTTCACTCGAGCGAGAGTTCTTGCGCTCGAGCGAGGTTTGAGAGTCCTCAGGTTTTTTTTTCAAACGCAGCTTCCGCTCGAGCGAGCTTCCTTGCGTTCGAGTGAGCCTTATATAGTGTGTTTCTTCGCTCGAGCGAGCATTCTTGCGCTGTCTGCGTCTCTATAAGACCTGAATGTTGGTATTCTTCGCTTGAGCGAGTTTTCTTGCGCTCGAGCGAGCTTTGTGTTATTTGTTCCTTCACTCGAGCGAGAACTCTTGCACTCGAGCGTGCGTTTGCGTTGGTTCAGACCTAAAGCTTCGCATTGTTCGCTCGAGCAACGCTTCTTGCGCTCGAGCAAGGTCTTTTGTTGTGTCTGGTCGCTCGAGCAACAACTCCTTCGCTCAAGCAAGCTTCGCATATATCAGTTCACAGCCGCGTGTTTTTACACCATTTTTGAACCTCTTCTTCTTCCAAAACCCGAGATCGACAGCTCCTCTCTCTAAACTCTCTCTCTACAAATACACCTTGTTCTAGGGTCTCTCTACCTTAGTCCCTTTGTTAAAAAAGTGGAGCATTGTGTGGGCTTCATTTTGATCTGAAGAAATTCAAGTTTAGAGCATCTTCAAGTTTCACTCTTCACCTCCTTTGAGCTTCTTCATTTGATGTAGGAATATTCTACACTTTGTTATAAATTTTAACTTAGTTATTTGTTGTTGTGAGAATATGGTGAGATTTGGGATGTTTGGAGAAAACCTAGGGTTTAGTTCAAATTTATAAAAGATGGGTTTTTATGTATTGTTGTATATTTGATCATGGGGTTGGAATATGAGGTGGTTTTGTGTTAAGATTGATGAATTTGATCTTTGGGTTAGTATTTGGAATAAGGGGAAAATTTGCCCTAATGTGAGCTAAATGATTATTTGGTATAAATAATGGAATTGGTGTGAGAAATATGAAATTGGGAAGTTGTGTGAATGAATGGTGTAGTTAGAGTTGTTAAATCACTCATCTATGGAAATTTGATAAATTATCTGTCTAAAAGATTGTATATCTGTTTAGAAATATCTGTTTTGGGCTATCGGTGAAGGATAGCCATGATTGTTGTAGAAACTGCATGTGGATTAAGTAAATTGAAACTTGTCGTTTAAATTTACCTCATTGAATATAATGGTATGATTGAGATGTTGAATATGTGTCATAGATAGTCATTGTACATGACGATGTTTTTAATACATTGCATATGTATCATTGTTTGGGATGAGATATAGGATGGACTCCATTTATAATTAAGTTGGCCGTAGTGTCCAGGGTGAAAGTCCCGAAATCATGTGCACATATGGGTGCCAGTTCTCTTGGATGAAAATTTCGTAAAATGGCAAATCTTGATATCTTGTGCATATATGGGTACCAGTTCCCTCGGATGAAAAATCCGTAAAATGGTAAAATTGAAGTGTTTGAATAATAGTTGTATTGAATTGTAAATCACTGAGTTGTAGCCTTATTTTAGATTGTTTAGATAACAACGTACTTGTCTCATGAACTGGCTCGGAATTTACTGGATTAATATGAATTGAATAGAGGGAAATGAAATTGAGATATGGGTATTAATATAAAATGAATATGGACAGAATGTGAGTTGGCTGTGAATGTGGAACATTTACTTGGCCCTTTTATCTTAGTTAAGCTTTATATATTGTGTTAGGTTATTTCTACTGGGTTTTGGCTCACTCTACTTGGGAAACCATTTTCAAGTACAGTTGGCATGCTCCCTCCAAAAACGTAGCTAGGGAGGACTTAAGAGCTGGAGGCTATATTTGTTTATTTTCGTGTTTAAATGTTTATTCAAGCCGAGGGCTTTATATGTATAGAGTTTATGATACTCTATTTTGTTGTAACCAAGTATGTCTTGGAAAGATGTAAACCCATAGGGCATTCGCTTATGTTAAACCCTTTTGTATTATTATTTCATGCAATGAAAGGATTATTTACACTCTGATTTATGTAACTATTATTTATGCTGTTGTGAATCACGTCTATGATGTTATATTTTGGGGGCGTTACATAAATTAATTTCTATTTTTTCAAAAGTCAAACATGGCGACAACTTCCCCTATCTAAAAAAAAAATAAAAATACATGACCACAATTTTGATATCATTATTAAATCAATCCAATAAATAAAAATTTTAAAACTAAAAATATTTCATATATTAAACATAACAATCATACATTAAAACTCTAATAACCATGTATTACATGATAACCATTCAAAAATATTTATTAACAACAAATACAACCATCTATTATATGATAACCATAAAAAAATATCAATAAAAACAACCATCCATTACATTATTATCATCCAAACACATACTACAAATTAATTTGGTAAAAAAATAAAAATGTAAAAGCTTTATTATTTTTATATAATTTTATTTTTAGTGTGATAGAAATAACTTTAAAAAATTCAAAAATAATTTTTTGACATTTATTTTTGTCAAACTAGTTTATATTTTACTAAATTGATGACTTTACTCTTTAAATGGAGCAACAATGTCTTTAATTTTTCTTATTTAGAACGAGATTCAAAATTCAAGGTCAAATATATGATAATTAAAAGGTCAAGGATCAAAGTACACAAACTCAAAACTATAGGAATCGTTGGTATAATTCGTTTATATTTTATTTATCATTTCAAATGTTAATATTACATTGATTCTTCTTCCTTTTTTTTTTTTTTTTTTTTTTTTCTTTTTTGGACAAATTACATCAATAGTCCCTCTATTTTGGCCCTTATGTCATTTTGATCTCTATAATTTTAATTAGCTTGATTTTAATTATGAATTTATGACTTTGTTATCACTTTAGTTCAATTGATTAAAAATGTTATCACTTTATATATATATATATATATATAGAAAATGCGTATATAAGTGGTTTTTTTTTTCTAAATATTTTTAGACGTAAAATTACAAACTTGATCTACTTAGTAAGTTAATCTCAATCAATTTAGTTATTATTTTCTATCAAAAACATTAATAATATCATTAATTGAACTAAATTGATACAAAATTTAAAATTAAAAGTCAAAATTAGGCCAATTAAAATTATAGAAATCAAAATAACATAAGAGACAAAATATAAAGATTACTGATGAAATTTGATTTTTTTTTTTTTTTGCTTTTATGGTTATGGGACAGAGAAAGCCAACACAAACAAAAGAGAAGAGACAACACCAAATAATAATAAAAGGACTATTACACTACAATTATGACTTTGAAAAATAATTAGAAATAAATAATAAGATTTAAAAATATTAATAATTAAAATTATAATTTTTTTGTATTAGCACTGAAGAGTAGATTTTCCCAACAAACAAGAAAACAATATGCATGCAGTCCCCCATGAGTGGTCTCCTCTCTAAAAACCAACGCAACGCCTAAAGGAGAGAAGTTGAAGGGGGATACACAATTAGTTTGCCCTCAGAGTCAGCGTCAATGGTAACAATGTCGCCCTCTTCAACTTCACCCTTAAGAATCATCTCAGCCAGGTTGTCCTCAACAACCCTCCTTATGGCCCTCCTCATTGGCCTTGCTCCATACCTAGGGTGGTACCCTTCCTCAACTAACTTCTCCTTCAACCTATCTGTTACTCTCATTATTATCTTCTTGTTTACTTTCAGCCTTTCATACACTTCTCCCAGCATTATCTCCATAATCTTCTTCAACTGCAAGTACGATAGCCGCTTGAACACAATCACTTCGTCTAACCTGTTCAAAAACTCCCCCCTGAATATTTTTTTTAACTCTTCACCTACTTGCTTTTTCACCTTCTCAAATCCCCCACTCAATTCACCACCAACATTTGACGTCATTATGATGATGGTGTTCTTGAAATCAACAGTCTTACCTTTACTATCGGTCAACCTTCCATCATCCAAAATCTGAAGAAATGTGTTGAAAACCTCTGGGTGAGCCTTCTCCATCTCATCCAACAGAATCACATTATGTGGTCTGCGCCGAACTGCCTCAGTAAGTTGGCCGCCATCACCATGGCCAATGTAGCCAGGAGGTGACCCAATAAGCTTCGACACAGTATGCTTCTCCATATATTCGCTCATGTCAAGCCGAACCATTGCTTCCTTGGAGCCAAAGTATTCAACGGCTAATACCTTAGCTAGTTCTGTTTTGCCGACACCTGTAGGGCCAGCAAATAAGAAGCTGGCTATGGGACGGCTGGGGTCACTAATGCCAACTCTGGCTCGGCGGATGGCTCGGCTAACTGCTTCAACTGCTTCGTCCTGTCCTATAATGTGGTGCTGGAGTGTTTCTTCCATTTTAAGGAGCTTATATGATTCTTCACTTGAAACACTCTCAACTGGAATTCCTGTCCAGGAAGACACCAATTGTTGTATATCACTTTTAGTCACTGTCACAACACCAACATCTTGTGACTTTGATGATGCTTGCGTTTGATGAATCTGAGCCCGCGCACCTGCTTCATCTATCAAATCTATTGCCTTATCGGGCAGAAAACGATCGCTGAAATGAATTCGAATTATAGAATCAGAAGAGCTGAAAAATAGTTATTTACTGATTACTTAAATTCAAATTCGTTAACATCAAATAATTCTAACTAACTTGATGTATTGTTTTGAGAGACGAGCAGCAGCAATTAAAGCATCTTCAGAGTAACGAACATTATGGTGGGTCTCATATTTGAGACACAGACCTTTGAGTATCTCTATTGCCTCGTCCGCAGATGGTTCAGGCACTTCTACAAGCTGGAACCGCCTTTTCAAGGCAGAGTCCTTCTCGATGTACTTCTTGTATTCATCGAGTGTTGTTGCACCAATACACTGCACAAATCACATTCGAGAGGAAAAAAGACTTCAAATGCAGACACTTTTTTTTATTTTTTTTTATTTAAAATAGCTACAAACAATATTAGGTACCTTCAGTTCACCTCTTGCAAGAGCTGGTTTCAAAATGTTGGCAGCATCAAGTGCTTGCCCTCCAGCCCCATCTCCAATTAGTGTATGCAACTCATCAATGAACAGAATAATGGCCCCTTCGCTTTGCTTGACTTCATCAACCACATTCAGTAACCTTTCTTCGAATTCTCCCCTATTTGATGTGCCAGCAATAAGACGCCCCATGTCAATTGAAAACACCTGATTTTCAATATTGGATAGTTAGATAACTCTAAAGAATTTGATCCCCCTCTCTGAAAAATAAAAGACTATTGGCTTAGTATGTAAATAAAACAAAATTTTGATCCCCCTCTCTGGTTAAGTACACAATAAAGCTATTATAGGATGAACGACCTTCTTTCCGACAAGTTTTAATGGAACCGTGATTTTTGATATTCGTTGGGCGAGCCCTTCGGCAATCACAGTTTTCCCAACACCAGGATCACCAATAAGGCACGGGTTGTTCTTTCGTCTCTTGCATAAAATTTGTGTCACGCGCTCCATCTCTTCCTGCCTCCCTATTACAGGATCCAGTTTATCCTGAGTGATACAAAACCCACTTTGATCAGTCTCGATCTTTCAAAGAAAATGATTAATTGAGAACAATATATACTCACAATGGAGTATATTGATGAAGAGATATGAATGATTAAAAGTTGTTAAGCATTATTAATTACCTCTTGTGCCATTTTGGTTAAATCAGTGCCATACTTATCGAGTGTCTCTGTGCTAAAAGGAGGCTGCTGCTCGAGCTTCTCCATGATCAGTTAGTTGTACAACTAAGATTTCACTAGTAAGCAAGCACATAAAATGCTGAATACCACTTTCTGAATGAAACTCAAAGCCAGTAATTGAAAGCTGTATATTGGTCGCAAATAGTTTGCGACTGTTATTTTGCGGTCGCAAAAAGTATTTGCCACCCCCACATTCGCGACCCCCATTTGCCGTCGCATGGGCAGTCGCAAAAGGTCTTTTGCGACTGTGTTTTTATTATTTGCGACGGTTTATAGCGGTCGCAAAAAGTACTTTTTTTAGTAGTGTGTCATCAATTAGTCATTGTTTTATATATCATAGTCCACATTTATTGTTTCAGAATATTATCAAATGCTCATAAATGTAATGATGCACTTTCCAACAATAATGTTTGGCATTCTCTCTCTCACTCTCTCGATCTCATGAGAACATTACTGAGGAGGGCACAGCTTCCTAAGAGTTTTTGCACGTATATGAGTGTGTTCATTCATGTGTAGATTAGCTTTTAAGATAGTAATATCTAGTAATTTTTATTATCAACTCAAATGCAAAGGATGTGATGTGAGTCTTGGATCAGAATGAAACAAATGGGGAATTGAGGTGAAGGAAGTAGTTGTATCATTATTGATTTTGTAAGATTCCGGAACTTGTACAACAAAAAGCAAAGTGAGTTCTCCTCTTAGTTAAGTTCCTTCACCCTAGTGATTTTGGCAAGATTTAGAGCCATCTCCAACCCAACTCTCTTAGAGGATGAAAATACTTTTTTTTATTCAAAAAGTGAATATAGAGTATCTCACTATTCCCTCAAACTCCAACCATAAATCATCATTTTCTTCTCTAAAGATTTCTCTCGAAAATATTTTCATCAAAAGTAAATAATTTTTGTTCATTAACAAATAATTAATTTTGAAATTTTTGTAAAATATATTTAATATTATACTCATTTTAAAGGTATGATTTTACCCTTTTTAATGATGCCAATTTTATAAAAATTAAATTTACATATTAAAAGCTATTTGTAATAAAATAAAAAATATAGGATGAATAGTATTTTAGAGGATCCTCTATTTTTCATTCTCCAAATATGGAGGATCAACCCATCCTCCTTCCAAATAGAGATGGATTTAAAGGATGGGTTGAAGGTTAATCCGCAAATATGAAATTATAGAGGGTGGATTGGAGATGCTATCGGGACGCATATATGTAGTAATCAAAAGATTCAAGTCATGTTGGGCCTGGTGCTGTAGTATTTTGCAGATGCAGTGGTGTGCTAGGAGTGCCACAGTGCCCACACTTGTGCAACACACTGCCACTACCATCACCACCACCAACCAATCCATATATATGGGAGAATCTCTAGAAACATTTTGTAAATGGATCTGTCTATATTAAGGCCATATTAAGGCAAAGCCATGGCCCAGCAGAAGACCGCTCATATCACTCCTTCGTTTAGCTAGGCAAAAGGATCCTATCCTATCCTATCCTATCCATCCTCATGGATGATGACACCATGGTTTGACCCACTGACCTTTTCAATCCATTTTGTACCTTTTAAGTACAAAGAAACTAGAATTATGTGTTACTTTTAAACTATTAAGAGCATATTTATTTATTTTAATATAATATATGGTTTTATCCGATAAATTACCAATTGAGAATGAATGAATGGATTGGTTTGAAAGATCTCAATCTGCCAACATTCATGCAGTCATACATGTTAGTCCAGCTGGCTCCTTTAATTACTTGTCAGTAATTTAACATGACAATAAATCACGTGGATCGAAATGAAATTTGATGAACACGAATCTTTCAAGGGGCATTCCAACAAAACATTGTGATCCGTTTAAACATCAATATCACCCATAATCTGCCATCGATTATTATAACTACAATATTGTACATGAATAGTATCATATAATGGCGAGGCGAATTATATTATATTGAAACAAGTTTTAACTATCAGAAGTTATTAAAAGAATAACTAAAATAGTATAATAATCATTTTTTTTAATACAAAAATCTCATTAGTCATAGAAAAGATAACTATGAAATTTGTTTGATGTAGTGGTGGCACTGAAGTGGAAAGGAAAGAACAAAACCATCCACCTACTTGTGTGTATCAAATAAAACTGTATGTTAGCACTTGTCCGACGGTTGTCTCTTCTATCTCAATAAGATGACAAAACCTCCTCCTAGTTATTCAAATAGATCCTCTTTTTCTGCCTTTTTCTTTCCCTTTATTAACCTGATCATCTTGTCTAATCCTGAGGACTAAAATATATAATTCAATGACTCAAGCTAAAATTAAAATAAAATGATATTAAAATCACACATGTTAAAATGGATCCTCTTGTTCAACTTTTGAACATCAAATGTTAAATTATCACAATGATGAATCATTGTAAAGAATGTGATCATGATTTGGGCCTACCACCATCATCACAAAAGCATAGTAGAATATGTTGAACAAAAACAGTCACTAATCACGCGCAATGGTAGTGGATGTGGAACTTTTTTTCATGTCCGCTACTATCAGTTGAGATCAATGTTCATGTTGAAGCCCTCTGAAATTTCACACTATCAACAAAATAGTAATGTTCCCCTCTAAAAAAAACAAAATAGTAATGTCTTATAAATAAATATAAAGGTTATTTCTTTTATGTTTGACTCATTTTTCACTTTAGTTTTGTTTGTTTTTTTTTTACTTTAACCCTTTATGTTTCAAGTTTTTTTTCAATTTACTCTTAAAACTAATTTTTCTTATAAATTAGATAGAAATTGACACAGTTACGTAGTATAAAAATATTTTATTATATATAATTCACACTTTTAACTCAAACGCAAATCTCAATATAATAATATATTTTTTATGTTATATGATAGTTGTTATGGCATTTTTTGTTTAATTTTAAACAAAAGCTAACTTTAGGAGGTAATTGACAAAAATTTGAAACATAAGGGTCACAGTGAGAAAAAATAAATTTCAAGGGTCAAAATAAAAAAATAGCCTATAGTGTAATTTATCCGAAAATAAAGAAGTAAATGATGGGACCCATTAAAATAATGCATTAATAACATATATATCTCCAAAATTTGATACACAAATTTATTCACAAAGCATTATTGATCAACAAATCATAAACTCTCTTAATGTTACAGCGTTTATATCTTGGGGTGGATATGGAGATTGGCTCATTTTATAATCACAAAAAAAGAAATATTAAATTAAGAGAATGTCACAGTTGACATTTTATCTCGTAAAAATTGCAACGCCATGTTGTCCTATTGCAACATAAAAATAAATAAACAAAGATACATATATACAATAATTAATTGATTGCCTGTAGAATTCACGCATAAAAGGTTTATGTACAGTTGTACACCATCTTGTTGTGTCATTTGTGTATGTTATAATATTGCTGTCCTTTGTCACATATATAAGGACCGGGCACAGTAAGAGAGGCAAAATAATTTTGAAATTAAAATTTATTAACTTTAGCATATTTTATCTTTTATTTTTAGTGTAAATTAATGGAGAGAGAGAGCTCTCTGTGTATTATCAAAGCCAATTAAAAGTTAACAAAATTTTAAATTTTTCACGAAAAGCCCATGTAATTATAGGAAAGTCTCATTGAAAGTATGTATATATAATTAGCACAAAATTTGTTTTCTTCTCTTCCTTTACTTTTTCTCTATATGAATTATATTTTCATACTTCATTAATAAAATTAAAATTTCACTTATATGACTTCTCACGGTATAAAAAGAATGTCTAATTTTATGATCAAATTATGAACTCATAAAATAACTGAGTTGCTTCCATGCCAACTCCACAATCTCTGAAACGTTAAAGGTGAGCTTTGCGGTTGTAATCTTCAATTCATGAATAATGTGAATTTCAGAAAATAAATGCGCAAAATTAAGCATGTTATTAGATAAAAAATATTGATTTCAAGAGTTGACCGGGTAATAAAAATTTGATAATAAAATTTAAAATATCGAGTTCGAATTAGTCCAAGAGTTCACTAAAAATTTATCCAATCATTAACTTGAAATTTTTAAATTAATCGAGCTACTCACAAAATAACATGCATATTTAGTTAAAAAAATATTACCTTATAAATTGTCTTCGGGGGTGGTGGGGTGGTTGTTAGAAGTCTCTCTCATTACCGCAATATTCCATACATATGTTAGTCTCGGTCATTGATTCGATATGATATGACGGTGCTTTTCCTTTTTTTTGGGTGTAAAGACGGTGCTTTTCGTGCTTCACTCTTCATTGCTTTTATTAGCTCTTCTTCAATTCAATAATATGTTCCCTATGTATACAAGAGAAGAAAAGAACACTACAAGAATTAACACTTTTGGCAATAAAAAAATTGGTCGCTAAAAGTTAATTTTTGGTCGGTAAAAGTTATCCGCGATCAAATTTTTTTGTCGCTACTTTGGTCGCCAATTGAGGGTCGGCAAAAGTAATTCGCGACCAAATTTTTGGTTGGTCGGCAAAAGTTGGATGGAGACAGAGAGGAGAGACGGGATTAGAAATGGCGACCAAATTTTATAAATGGCGACCAAATTTCTAGAGAATGTGGGTACAAAACGACGTCGTTTTATAAATGGCGACCAAATTTTTTTTTGTCGCAAAAAATTTTGGTTTTCCCCCTCCATGTTTCAAATTTCCCTCCCAAGCCTTTCGCGACCAACTAACCAGATTAGTCGCAGAAAAGGTACCTTCCGCGACCAAATTTGAAGTTGGTCGCCAAAAGCATACCAATATCTGCGACTAACTCATTTTTGGTCGCAAAAATGTGACCTTCTGCGACCAACTCATTTTGGTCGCCAAAAATAATGATCATTCGCGACTAATTAATATTTTGGTTGGCAAATATCATTTTTTTGCAACCAAAATTTTTTTGGTCGGCAAAAATGGTCGGCAAATGTGTAAATTCTTGTAGTGGAAGTTGATGATTGCTCGTTAATTGCAATGTGCTATCCTCCACGCTTTTGCAGAATTTCTTGACCATGACACTTGTTACTCCATTTTCATGACTAAAAAAATGTTCAAGATAAGAAAGCAAAAATAAT